CACACACACACACACACACTCCATTTCCAGGAGGAAATTCAAAGCCTCCTCCACCTGCCACATGACTGAGAAGCATGAGTCTTTTGAGCTTTTATTGGGCCGTGTCTTCCTCCATTGGTCTTGACCGTCCTACATTTCCCAGGGCCTTGTCCTCCTGGCTCCCGCTGCCTGCGCGGCCTCTGAAGAGGAGGATTGGGAAACCGAAGGAGAAGGAAGGAAGGAAGGGGGCCATCCCGTCCAAAACCCGAGATACTAAGCCTAGGGGTGCATCCACACTGTAGAAGTGATGCCGTTTGGCGCCACTTTAAGTGCTGTGGAACCCTGGGATTTGTAGTTTGGCAAGGTCCTTGTTGTTGTTGTTGTTGTTGTTGTTGTTGTGTGCCTTCAAGCCGTTTCCGACTTATGGCGACCCTAACGGGGTTTACCTGACAAGATTTGTTCAGACGAGGCTTGCCCTTGCCTTCCCCTGAGAAGGCTGAGAGAGTGTGACTTCAGTGGGTTTCATGACCAAGCAAGAAATCGAACCCTGCTCCTCCAGAGTCGTAGTCCAACACTCAAACCACTCTCAAAGAGATCACCAAACTGCAGATCCCAGAGTTCTGTAGGACGGAGCCCTGGCAGTTAAAGTGGCGTCAAACTGCACTATAATGTCTGCAGTGAGGATGCACCCCTGCTCGCTCCGCTTTTAAAAGCCTTCCCTCCACACCTTGTGAAGCCGCATGGGCATGGCAGTCCACGCCACTTCTCTCCTGGCATGGGGGCAGCGTGGAGCAATGGTCTGAGCCGTGGGCCAGGACATTGGACTCCGTGGAAACCCACTCTGGGCAAGTCATGCTCTCTCAGCCATGGCAAACCCCTTGTGGACGACAGTGACCGAAAGCCCCAGACCTTGGGGTCACCATGAATCGGAAAGGACTTGAAGGCACACACCGAAGACTCTGCAGTACTCCTGTCTGCGGACTTCTAGCAGGAAAAGGATCCAGCTGCTAGAGTCTACCCCGCAACCAGATCTCGGGGCTAAATCACCATCGAGCCTCGACCTGAGCTCCAAAGGCTCCGGAGTCAGGGAAAAAGGAGGCCGGCTTCAGTTTGCCTTGGAGAGTCAAGGATGGGAAGGCCTGGGGGGGGGGGGGGGGGGGGGTTGCAGACTGCCAGAAATAGTGCAAATTGATTCTACTTTGAGGGTTAGGGAATCATGGGAACTGTAGTTTATTGTGGCACCAGAGCTCCCTGACAGAGAAGGCTCAATGTCTCAGAAAAAAAATACAATTCCCATGATTCCCTAGCACTAACCCTAACCCTAAAAGTGGACTCAATTTGCACTCTTTCTGGCAGTCTGCAACCCCCCACTGGTTTCCACCGGAGAGACCGACTTCAGGGGCGGCTGAATTGGTTTTGGATCGCGGGGTGCTGGGAGCGGGGTCAAGGCGCCTCATCGCCTTCCTTCTTTCCTGGGGTCTTGTCAAACAAACTACAAGTCCCCGGGTCTGTGGCCCCTTTCATGTAGAAAAGGAGGAACTCCCGTCGGGGCACCCCTTGTGGCCAATCTCCACGGGATCCAGGTCCCCCAAAAAGGCAAGAAAAGGAGAAAAGGGCCAGGACCAAATCTCCAGGGCCAAGTCAGAAAAGGAGAGCCCCCCACTTCGGAGGGAGAATCCGGCCTGGGAATGAATGGGTCTCTTCAGGCCTCGAAAAGGACCTCTTGCCGGACCCTTTTCGGCATCCCGTTCTTCAAGATCCGGAGGGAAAACATGGCCTGGTTCCTTCCATTCACCCCAAAGAGGTCAAACCAGGACCGCGACGGCCATCTTCTGAGCCTTTCGGTGGGAGGCACTGAAACAAATGGCAGTACTTGCTCAGAGGGGAAACATTACTTGCCCCTAGGGAATCATTGGGGAATACTTGGCAATTGGGATACATAGTACTTGCCCTTAGGGAAAGATAGGGGAACACTTGCCCATAGGGATACACGGGGGGATACTTGCCCATAGGGACATATAGGGCAAGTATTCTTCTCTGTTTCCCTATGGGCAAGCAAGTATGGGTTCTCTATGGGCAAGTACTGCCATTTTAGTACGTCCTCCTTTCTGATTCTTGAGTGCCAGCTTTGCCTAAGCACCCGATCCGACGCTTTAGCCTTTTGGGGGAAGAAATGTGGTTTAATCGTGGGGAGAAAAAAAAAAAGAAAGAAAGAGGGGCGAAAGAGCCGAGGGGTCAATAGGTTAAGGCCCAGAATAGCCGTCGATGAAGTGGGACCGGTGGGGAAAGCGGATTCCCTCCCAGGAGTAGATCCTCCAGCCCCTTCCTACTTTTTCTGGAAACTACAGATACATTCCGTCGTGGGATTTTATTCCCAGTCAATGACCTTAGGCAAGTCACACTCTCTCAGCCTCCTCAGGGGGAGGCAAGGGCAAACCTCCTCTGAACAAATCTTGCCAAGAAAACCCCATGTTAGGGTCGCCATGAGTCGGAAGCGACGTGAAGGCACACAAAATAACAACAGTAAGGCAAAAGTCACACCCTCTCGGCCTCAGGGGAAAGTAATGGCAAACCTCCTCTGAACAAATCTTGCCAAAAAAGCCCCAT